AGAGCTGATAGTGCTGCGGGAAAAATAAACTGAAAACAGGTCAGAAATGACTCTATTACCACTTGTCCGCTTGTTGTAAAATCAGCTGTCCCCAGGATAGATTTGAGTATTTCTGTCTGAAAAAAATACCTAAAAAAACTCTAAAAAAAAAAGTGCCAGTGCTCCCCCACCATCCTGGTCTTAAGCGCCAACTTACATGGGGCTTTCAACTGTTGTTTTGATATTCAGGAGTTAATCACGTGCACACAGATATTTTCAGCAAAAGTGGCCCTCATTATGTGTTTGGAGCCTCTATGGAAACCAGTGATGTACGTTTACGCGTGACTGGTGGCAACTGCGCCGCCATCACCCACTATCCATCGCCCAGTTCCTCCAATAACAATAGTTTGTAAAACGTTCAAACGCGCAGGGTTGACCTCTTATAAAGAGTCCTTCTTCCAGTCTGCCTGTTGGCACTAGGGGATCCCCCAAGCGGCATATCAGAGTGCCACATGTAATCCAATTTGTTCTGATAAAAAGGACACAATAACAACATGAAATATAACATCCTATCAAATTCAAATGCAACATAGGACTCGTAGAACACCTCATTTTGAGGGGAAACATGGCTAAAGGTAATGTGAATGGGGTTACTTCTATAGAGCGTTATACAGAAGAGTCACTTTATAAAAAGGAAGACCAGCTAATTCTTGTCCCAAGACAACTAGCTGAATTTATAAGCCTGCCTTTCTTTCTACAGTGTAATTAATGCGTATGGTGCAGCTTATTTGCTGTACTTTGACCACAGGAACATGTAAAAGCCGACATTTGTATTTGATGTGAACGGCTCAGTGCAGGTCATTCAACCTGGCCTCATGACCCTGGTCCTGATCACGGACGAATGCTTTTTTGAGACGAACTGCAATGGTTTTGACATGGTGAAGAAGCACGTCTTTAATCACTGCAGGATTAGTATACTGTTGCTATTCACTAATCAGAAGATGACTATACCCTCGGTGGGCTCTTCTAGCCTCGTCATTTATCTGAAGCGAGGGTCGTGAAGGACAGGGGGTGTCATATGACGGACATTTGTGATATTGGGCGATATATTAAAACTAATTTGACTTGCCTTGGCTCATGAGCTCCAACAATAATGGGACCACGCAGTCTGGTATGAATGGGTAAGACTGGGGTTGACCACCGCTGGTTCCTTATTTGGCATCAAACACAGCGATCATGTGTAAAAGTGGTGTGTGAGGGAGTGAGCTGTGCATTTTGTTTGAAAAGCCCATGGATGTGTGTGTCTCTGAGTGTGTTCCAATACCCACACAACTGTACTATTTAGAAAAAAGTTAAGTATGTCTCAATACACAGTATGTCCAATGCAGTACGCCAAAAACACCAGGATGTCCTAATGCACCCTGTCGCTTTTGCAGTGTGGTTCTCTGGCTATTTTGACCCACAATCCTCTGAAACATCCCATCGACTGAGCCGCCGGGTGAACACAGACAGATGACAGCTATTACATATATCGAATATATAGGAGTTAAAAGGGTCAAAGTTCACGATGCAATGTTATGACAAAGTAGTATGTCCCAACTGTATGCATACCGCATGCAGCAGCATGTACTTTGTAAGGGCAGCAACACACTAAAAGTATAAAGGAAAAGTATGTGATTTAGCACGGCAGGGAAAGCACCAAAACATCCAGACCAGTGATTCTCAAAGTGGGGTCCGTGAGGTGTATTCTGAATAAAAACCTCTGGTCTGGGCCATTGGTCTTACAAAAGACCCCTCACAATGCTGCCATGTTCACGTGCCACTATAAAACCCACTTAAATGGCATCTAAGCTTGATCATAGAGACGTTTTATAGGGTGAACAAATCAAGAATCAAGTGTTTCTTTCAAAAAAACATTTTTGTTTTAAAAGGAAAAATTGATCCCAACAAGAAATAAAATCTGATGCCAGAGATATATATATACTATATATAAAGTTTCGGTTGAACAGACATTTAAATACACGAATCACCCTTTCACTACTTTTCTCATCCTTTACAGAATGACTTCCCGCGCATTACATTGCATAACAGGTGTGATGTAAATTGATGCTAATTGTCACGAGGGCCCAATCAGTGTTCGCTCACCTTGATAAACAGTGTGGTTACTATGGTGACGGCGGACCACGTAATATCGTAATCGTTGGTGTTCGCAACAAGTGAGGAGAAGAGCGCCTCGCTTCAAAACAAACGCCTGTCAAACTCATCCAGGAGCGTTATGCAACGAAATAAGTCTTCTGAAATAGAGTTGGACGTGGTGCAAACGGTCCGATGATCATGCATGAATATAATACAATTATTACCGTTATTTATGAACACTTTCTTTTTAGTACAACAGCCCGAGATAAAGTACAACTATGAACTGTTAATCCGAGGCCAACATTTGAAAACAACGTTAATAACTACGTGTTGTGAAGAAGTCTGTTATATAGAATAAAGTGATCTTACTGTGTTGTGCATAATAACATACGTAAACACGTTGAATGAGTGATGTCTATGTATATATATATATATATGTGTGTGTGATAAATAGAGTCCATACATCCAGGTACTCCGTGTCTACGGAAACACGTTAAATACAGCGCGCTCGAAGAAGTCCGGTAAAAAACAAAAGGGTAAAAATCTCCAATATAAATTGACAACAAAAATGTGCTGATCCGACAAAAAGTCAAAAACACGAGAGCCGGTTGAAGCGTGGAGCAGATCTGTACACCAGTGGTAAGCACAGCACACGGTAAACAAAGGCCTGTTTCTGAGTGCAAGCTCCATTTTGAACAATGCGGCTTGGTTTCTGTACTGAGCTGGAAAAAAATAAAATGCACACTTTAAGTAATGCAAAGCGGCTGTGCTAAAGTGCGTGCACTTGCAAACAAACGTACCTGGGGTGCTACCGAGCGTGCTGTGACTCTTAAAACTACTCTCGGTACAGTAGCTGGCATCATCATTATCTGGTAGTTCCTCCAGATAGTCCGATTCGTTTCCCAAGGCCTCCTCCTCTTCAAGATCCGACGAAGGGTTGTCGTTCAGGAGTTCATCATCGTCTGACCTGTAGCTTATATTATCATCCTCCTCGTCGCTGTTGTCGTCGTAGACCACCTTGGTTTGAGGCCGCCTCCCTCCGCCGCGGCTGCCTCTCGACCCCCTGCCTCTCGATCTGCCTCCTCTGCCCCGCGATGCCGCGGCCGCCGCCGTGGTTGAGGCTCCAACTTTCCTGCGGCCCCGGGTCGAATGAAAGTTCTCTCGGCCGGAGATTTCTGTCTCCACTTCCGCAGAGCCAGTGCCACAAACGCCGCCAATTCCACCCCGTCCCCGACCGCGTCCTCTGCCTCTCCCCCGTCCACGCATCCCTCGACTCCTGCTTCCCCTGGAGCCGCGGACTGGCGCGGGTGAACCTTCCCGCATCGCGGCTGCTTGTTTGGGCGGCCTTCCTCTTCTCCCCCTCATTGTGGGAGAGAGTCTCTTCTGTTCCGCTTCAATCTCGGAGCTCGAATGAGCCACGCACTCCAGGGAAAGGCGGGGGAGAAAGAACCCGACAGATCTGGAGACGGTTCCCGACAAGTCTCCACCAAGCCCCGGTCTCAATTTCAGGGCGGAAAGCTCAAACTGAATGGCCGGTGTCCCGCTCTGGGTCGCCTGCAGACGCCATTTTTTCGTCTCAGCTCTCCCTCCGTTGAAAACACAGCAGGCCCCAGAGCTGCGTTAAGCTAACCACGAGCACCAGTGGTTGTGCCGGAAGTAAAGCACGCTTTCCTTCAAACTTAAAGCACAGTCAAAGTAAAAAATACAAATCAGTATTTAATATCGAGTTTCACAGAACATAGCACAAATATGAAACACGGTTACATATATTATAAATTGTCATCACAGCCGTTATATAATCCAAATATAAACTTTAAACACTTTCGTTTTAACGAGCTCACTGCAACAGATCGGAAGATGTGTTTTTTATCCTCTAACTTGACACTAGCAGGCCTGAGTGGATGCGAAGTCACGTGACTCACTATTCTACAATCGACGCAATTGCCGTGCTAGTTCATAAAATGTGTTATTCATGCAAACGCTATATTCCAATAGCACTTTATTAGCGCTGACTGATTTTGGCGGGTAGTTTTAATCACAGGTGGGTCGAGTGTTTTTAGTGAAACATCATCGTACATTTTCGGCCATGTCGCCATCGTCGTCACAGCAGAGCCAGGCGAGAAGATAAGCATAGTCCGACATTTAGCTTTATAATATTAACCCAAATTTGTCCTAAAAGTAAATAGCACACACATTTCCATGTTTAGAATGACGTAAATGTGCAAAACAGCTGTACATTTATTTTTTGACAAATGCATTTCATATTACTTTAAAATTACTTTAAAGTATTACCAGGGAACCTGGCTCCATTTTCAATCAGTTCAGCCAGTTCAGTTCACGTTAAATTGTTGATATTACGTTGACATTTTATTGGAGCTATGCTGATCTCCTGCTGATCAAACACGCACTATAATCTTAACAGTGTTATAATGTAGCCCGCAATAACGTGTACGGTCAACCAAAGAAGAGTAATAGAGGTGCAATTGCAACACCCTTCACTCTTGTCAAACGCCTCTGGGTTTGACTTGATGAGTTTGGTAAGTTAACGTTAACTGTTCGTCTTCTGCTCTCGTTGGCTTTCCCTTTTCATTTTGGCCGCTTCAACAATAGACTGCACAAAACCCAAGCTGCGGCTTTTGTCGCATAGCTAGCCAAACTATCATATGTACTGCCATTATCGCAGGTAATTACATATACAATATATGTATTGCTGCGACTTAATTGTATAGTTTTGTTTAAGATGTAAATACAAATGTAGGCCTCTTGTAAGTTGTCGTGGCCGAGTGGTTAAGGCGATGGACTAGAAATCCATTGGGGTCTCCCCGCGCAGGTTCGAATCCTGCCGACAACGAGATGTCTTTTTTTGTATCTGTGTCCCTGATTTTGGAGGGAATCTGAGCATTTACTTAACGTTACGTGTGGTGGAGATGGAGCATTTGTTATTGCGACCGCTATACCACGTTAAGTATGCCATCGTAACTAGCTCAATACTAGTAACGTTAACGTGCTGAATGCTCGTTCTACACGAAGTAGTAGCAGCTTGTTAACCGTTTTATATTTAGCGTGTTTCAATAAGGCCTCTTGTAGATTTACTTCTCTTCACACCGCTCCTCATAACCCTCTCAGTAGAATCTAAATGTTTCGTAGTAACTTCGTGCCACAGAGTGACTAGGCCGCTTTCTGCACAAACTAGTACAATGACCTACTAACCATTGTGTATTATAAAACTAATACAAATTCGTAAAAGCGTGCTAAAATCACGGCGATCGCCACTAACGTCAATGCATCCCACGCTAATTCACAAGTATTTGAGAATACCATTTCATGAAACAAACAAAAAAAAGTCACAAGGGTTAGCAGTTTTCTCCAGTTATATATTTGTATTCAATATAAAAAGCTTTCCTGTGGAAACCAGTAAAGTCACAGCTGACAGAAACAGCCATTCATTCTACAATCATTGTGTTCAATGGTAGAGTCCTACTAGGATTATGACAATTATTAACCAGTTTGGCATTGAGCAGACCATTCATTTATCGTTCAAACCATATTATCTTAATGGCCAAATTTCCATCATCTTGAACCTATTAACATGGTTCAAAGGCATCTGCAACTTATGCAACGCCTAACTTACACCAAGAATTCATATACAGTAAAACTCATACATCTCGAGTCTGATGGCTAACATTGTTTTCCAAAAATATTTTACCATTTCAGACAAGTATACAACCTTGAAACCACTACAGGTGAAAAGTTGGAAAGACACAATATGCTCAAAGATTTATTAAAAAGTATACACGTTCTAAAACAGCTCAACGATTTCAATGGAGTATTGTCCGACGTCCTTCTTCACCTTCATCTTTTTGAGCTCTTGGAGGCTTCCCTCGAGCTTTCCCAGCTCAGAAACCAGTTCCACCTGAGGACACAACAAGGCATCTTCGTTAAATTTCTTTCCCAGATGTTTTCTGATAGAACTGCAGTATTCTATTCTTTAGTTTTCCATTGTACTAGACTATTTAACATGCAGCCAGTTGCAAAGCACACAAAAGGGAAGACTGTTAGTTACCTGAGACTTGACAAAGCTGTGGAGGTTCAGCAGTAAGCCTTTGGCCTCTGGAGTCATCACCAGCACTGTGAAATGGGCGTCCAACAGCAAGCATACCCAATCCATGATCTACAGTCGCATGCAAAGGAAAACAGTTAGTTTTTGCTGCATTCCATCATTTGTTTACAACCTTTTTGTTATAAACAATTCAGTGATCGCAAAGAGTTGCTGTATATCCTAATTCCAGTGCTTTTACATGGTTGTTATATATTAGAAGTTTATGAAAAACAGCTGACGGTGTGCTCTGTGGCTGAGCGTAATTCAGACCGCACACAGTTTGTGCTCAAAATGTGAGTGACTTCCACCATATCTGGATTTGACAATCTCTCAGCGAAATATATTTTTCTGCCTCCGGACTCGTCACCTAATGTGTCCTGGTGCGACAGGAGACCGCAGCTGCCCCAATATGTCAAGTGTGGCCCCACTAATTATCTAGCTCGACATTGACACAGACCTGAGTCTGGCTCGGTGATCTCAATCCATGCATCTGTGGGACAGCGCCCTGGGTATATTTTATGTAAAGGAACTGCAGGTACTGGAGGAAAAGCTGATTGGATGAGAAAGAACATTGAACGTTGTAAATGGTGTTTTGTTAAAGCATCTATAGTTGGTGGTAAAAAAAAAATGTGCAGTGGGTTAACTAGCGGTTACTCACAACAACATTTTGGGAAGAGAGATCTTTCAGGTGTGGGAGCAGGAAAGAGTCGCTGTACGCCGTCTGCAGGACCTCATTTCTACACAGCTCGAGTTAAGATCAAATACATAGTTCATTCAAATCAATGTGGACAAAGAGTCTGCAATTATGCTGTTTAACTATAACATGAAGCTTTTTACTGGTACACAAGATGTGAGTCGGGGTTGAATCCAAGTAGTTGCATGATAATAATAAAAACATCAAAATGTGACAGTATGGTGCAAATTTTGGGTGTGAGTGACCGTGCACTGGCAGGATACAGTAGAACAGCTTTGTGTAATCCCACTGGACAGATCTGTTCTGGTGGAGTTGCGGTCTTCTCCTTGTCTTGTTGTGCTCTGGTGTCACCTCCACCGAGGCCGTCTGAACGGTCCCCGTCAGCGGAGGTGGCGGTGAAGCCATTTAGAAAGCCGACCGGCCCGCGCTCTCGAGCAATCAGGGTTTCGGTGAAGGAGACACTGTCTGGCTCCAGGCTCACTTTCTCTGCATCAACGTCAGACATACTGAAAGACGAAGGCAGAACACACTGTATATTTTTCCCCCATTTTCCATTACACCGAGTTAGGCTAATAATCGGATTATTAAAACCCTAAATCACAAAAATATGTTACTTTAGAGCCCCATATTAGTAGTTAATAAAAGGACCCTGTGGCAGAGACATCAGCTAGGGGATGTGCACTTCAGAACCATCAGTTTTACCTGATGAAGGCCTTAAGGCAGGCACAGGTGACCGCTTCAGGGATGTCCGGGAAGAACTGCAAGCAGAGCTGACACAGGAAGTAGTCCTTCCTCTCCAGGGCCAGGAGCACGAGGTCAGGACACACACTGTTGAATGTCATGATGGTAAACTGTCTCAATTATGACAATTGCATTCAAATGCAGGTTCACAAATTAATTCTTTGGACTGAATAGTTTTGAGATTCGATATTATTCAGTTATAGGTCTCACTAAAAGAACAACATCGCCCTGATTCTATTGCCCTGCCTCACTGACCTGTGGCAGAGGCACCGAGTGTGCACTAGCTGAACCAGGCTGCCGGGGGTATAGAAGGCCGGATCAGCCAGGCTCCGGGACACGAGGGCTGACGCAAGCTGGCCCACCGACGGGTGCAGACCCTGGATGTCTGTCCTCGAGAGCAGCACCTCCACCTCTCTCTGGACCTCTTCTACTGGTGCTGTCTGCATGAAGAAATTAAAATATATTTTGATATGATAAAATTACGCTGTTTCAGTGTTTTGCAAGACAGCCATAACATTTTTTTTTTAAAAACATATTCTTACCTTGATAAGCTCCAGAACTTGGTAATTTGTCAAACTAGGTGCTGATTGGCTCTTACGGTTTGTTCTCTGTATGGAGAGAAAGAGGAATAAAACCATAGATTATACAATTGACAGGATAGTTACCAAACCATCACTCACACAACTTTAAACTGTAAAGCAGAAGCAGGGAATTGCTGACTCATAAAGATGGTGTCATGTCAGTAACTGGTGTTATTATGGTTCTAGCGTGTGAGCACGTTTAAGATGCGATGAATTGTCTAATGAGACAGACCAGACCTCTTTACATACTAATTCAGGTTACCGTTATAGATAAATCTATAAATAAACTAAAATGACAGAACAGCAGCCCTGTAGTATTATGGATTTTCCACTTTACACAATACAGAATTTTGTACATTTAGTGAACGATTCAATCATTTCAGGCAGCAGCTACTGTAAATCAGTTTCATATGTAGCTAGTGTTAACTAGCTGGCAGTCTGAAAAACACCAAGCCAGTTTTCAGGGTGACAGTGCGTGGGATTAATGCAGCAGCAGCAGCCGTCTAGTCTCTAGTATCAGGTCCAACAAACCGTCTTCCTGGTGTCCACTGTTCTCGAGGGATGAGCTTTCTCTTCATGGAGGATGTTATTCCAAGATGGTACAGAAGTGGGGGCTTCGGACTCTGTTGCAGTAAGAAAAACACAGTGTACTGAGTGTACATGCAAATCTGCAGTGTCGAATTAGTGTTGCAGCATTATTAAGAACACGTTATTGCAGTATTATTTATTTATGTTAGATTAGCGTTCTCTGGCATCAAAAGTTTGTTTTAGCTCACCGTCAGTCTTGATCTGCCTCAGTTTTCCCAGTGCAGAGGCCAGGGACGATTTGGGGCACTCATATGGAATAACAGTGAGGGTTTTCCCATGTGGAATGACTAACCTGTTACAAAAACTCCAGAGCTAGATTAAAGACAAAAGAAAGGGAACACAAACAGTAATTAAAGTTAACTTAGATTAACAGCGATCATATGAACTAGGACAACTATTTAAGTGCCAACATTATCAATGTAAACTGCTATAAAGTTGTGAGGAGGGACAGTGAGCCCTATCACGGTGGAGAGCAGACACAGTGCTCTACCAAAGTCATACAGTCCTTCATCAGCACCCAGCAGCTGGAAGGACAGGGAACCTTGGCCTGCAGTAATAATAACAACGAGGGAAGCTTGAGCGGGTGGTTCCCGCATACTCCTCAAATTCATTAACACTATTTGTTTCATCCACTGATCGTATAACAGAGACAAAAGAAACTATTCTATTGGTGAGTTATGTGCACACACACAACATTCCTACCTGGCCATAGATTTTACCCGCCATCTCTTTTCCTGCCTGAAGCGTCTGGAAGTTGGTATTCCAGATGCAGAGGAAGTCTGAAAAATCAAAGACAGAGAGCCATTCAAGACCAACACACACACACGCGCTTGCATCAGATACTGGAGTCACGTAGCTTCAGATCATCATTCTAGTGTCTTTATCACCAAAAAAACATTCCTGGCACAAGATGCAGACACTAGAAACTAAATTCAGGTCAGTCAGTCATAAAAAACACTGACCGTGTATCAAGTGATGCCTGCTTTCCCTATTCTTCTTATTGATATTATGTAATGTCTGCATAAGCTAATAAAACATGTTTCATCACTTTCTCCACTGAACTTTTCATACTTAAAACCTTGAGGACACGGCTCTCCGTGTTGTGCATGCTGCCTCACAAGCATGACTTACCGAAAGCCTTGAAGTATATCCCAGACTGACTTACTTAAGATCGGTCTTGCATAAAATGGTACTTTTAGCAGAGTGAAAACCAGCCAGATGCTCGTGCTAATAATATCTGAAAACCTGTCTGAGTAGAGCCCTTGTGGTCTTCATTTCAGGCAGTGGGATTAAAACGCATTTACCGTTGCCAGATCCGGCAGAGGGGTGTGGAACCCCCACAACGGCTACATGGGCTTCGTCCAGGGTCTGAGCGGATGCAGCCTCCAGTAGGCCCTCACCGACGGGAAGACCCAGCAGCAGGCTGCGAGGCAGCGGAAGAGCCTGGGCCCCCTCGTCAGCCACCAGGCCCTGCACAGAGACTACGCTCTGGTATACATGACCGTTAGGGTCTGGATGGAAGGAAAATGATGAGGCACAAAAAACCGATCATTGAGGGAACTAATAACACCTATCTTACATGTAACATCCTGTGTTTGTGCAACACAATGTGTAACTTGAAATAAACGTGCAAGTGGATATTAAACAGAGAGTAAAACCACAACTTGCCGCTGCTGTTTTTTTGTTGTGAAACACTTCATGGATCTGTCATGTAACTCACAGTGTGGAAACCATAAACAAAAACAGTACTATCCCTATAAACAGACTCTGCATTCATAAGTAGAATCTGTATGCAGCAGGCCAAGATTTGGGCTTCAGAAGCGTTGTGGTTTCTGTTAGTAGTCCGTGTGCAGAGCAAAAGAGGCGGAACGCATCGGTCGAAATGCAATCTGCAAACCTACCGGCAATCGTGTGACGATAACTTTCTATTGGCTTAAAATTAGCTTGTAAACTCACAATCCTGTCGTACACGTCGTCTCTCAACTCCATTCTTGCATCGCAACTGGCTATTCGGACTGTAAACAATGGGCGGTGACACTGACACTAAAAATATTTTCACAGGAAACTCAGACTTACAGAGATAAAGCAGGCGGATGTGTTTATCTCTGTAGGAGGCAGAGAAGCTGAGCAGGGAAAGACCCGGCTCCTCCCTCTCCAGCCGGTACCTCTGTAGGGTGTTGGGATTCAGTCTCTGCAGGTACAGGAAATGATCTCCTTTCTGTGGGAAGACAAAAACAGGCCTTTAGACGTACAAATAAAGAGTTGATGCACATGTCCTTGGAGAAATCAAGGGCAAAATAAATAAGTTATTGGTAAACGGGTAAAAAAAACAAAACATGGCATTCATTTCCAGGCAGGCAAATTATTTGTTTTCACAGCTACGTATTGTGATACAAGTGCAACGAATGCTTAAAACTGAAGTCGTTACATTTAGTTCTAAGCTTTTGTGTCTCCTGTCAAAAGTCAAGCAATTCAAATGATGTTACCTGTTCGGTTGTGAAAATGACAAACGTGTGCGACTCTGTCACTATGTTGGTGCTCCACCTAAAGACAAAAGGAGCAATCACTAACACGCTACAGGTGAGGCTGCAGCACAGCACAAGTTATTTTTTTTTACAATTTGAAATTGAATTGTCAACATCACTCTCAATCCAGATTATAACCCAAAGGATTACTGGGGCTGTAAGGCGTAGTGATACTGACCTAATGGCCTCTTCTTGAGCCAGGACTTCCTCTATGGGCTGCTGGGGAGCAGAAAGTAGGGAGTCCAGGAGCCTCACAGCTCCTCGATGGAACAAGACAACAGGCTCCCCTCCAGCCACACAGTGGACCCTCGAGACATCTGACGACACCTGGAGAGGATTTACACACAGGAGAAGGAATGAGGATGTGCTCAGATTGGACCAAAGTGGTTCAGATTGTAGTTTCAGTGACCTCGGTTCGGCACAATGGACATGTTCAAATGGAGCCGATACAGAGGGCTTCACTGTGTGAATGAATTACTTCCAGCATGCTTGTTGGAAAACACCACCAAGTCATTATCCCCAATTGTATGATTCATTACCTCTCTATGACAACGGGCTTTACACATCGAATCAGACAACACACTGTACAAACTAGTTCACGTACGGTTGCTTTGAAGGCCTTTTCCAAGAGTATGTCTTCTTCCTTCCAAATTCTGATCACCTTAAAAAAAAAACACACACAAACAGACATTATTTTTGTGACAGTGTCAGGCAGATATTTCTCAAAGGACAGATCTACAGCGACACCTAGAGCCTAAACGAATGACAGAGTGAGTAACAATTTGGTTTATTTATCAAGGACCACATACATTAGTACGGTCAAACCTTTAAATGAGGCAACACTGTGTAGTGAATTAGGAATCATATGGACAAGGCCGACTGAACCTGATCTAATCTATTGTACAGCTGGTAGACGGAAATTCAGAAACACTGTTAAGTTCACTGAAAAAGCAACGTTTCAGTCACTGTTGCCTTGGAGTTCACTTCTTTGTTTTATTATATGGAAAAGCAAATCTCACTATGTAAGAATTTATTAATTTGCCCAAGTTCAATCTGACAGTGAGTCAGCTGGGTTTCTGTACAGACGGTGCTTCGAAGCAAGCACAACACCAACACCTTGCTTACAACAAGAATGACTGAAGGTCTACCTTGCTGTCTGAGACTACCACATATTCCTTGGTCTGTGAGTTGTAGACTGCTGGGCAGGTCAGTGTCTGTCCTTGTTTCACCGTCCAGCTGTTCAGTGGCTTCTGGTCTGAAACCTGTCAGAACCACGACAAACATACATTAAAAGAGGACCAGTTAATAACATCAATGACTCTACCCGAGAAGGTTCAACCGGTCATAAGACAAACAGTTTACCTTCACTCCCTAAAACAATATGACAATGCCATAATGCGACTACCTTCATGATAGCTGGAAGATTATGAAACAAGCAAAGCGAAGCCAATTCTGAAAAAGCTGATATGTAACGTTAGAGAAAAGGAGATGCGTGGTAAATCATTTAGCGCTAAGTGGAGCAGTACATTAGATACACTCTGAGGCTAGCAATGCAAACCAGTTAGCTAGCAAGCTGCGTGTGTCCTGTGGTGGGTATAGCGACCGTTAGCTTACATTTGCCTGTTTTTGTACGCTGGCATGCTGTTCACAACAACCTGAGCGAACCGAGAAGGAGTCAGTACTATCACAGCTAGAGGTTTGCGTCTTATATTGTCTGTTTTGGTGGTTAGCACAGTTGCCGTTGCTAAGAACAGCCGAGGATGCCAACACGAGTTCTCCAGGTCGCGCTGATCAGCTGGTTAGGAGAGCCTCCTCAAAACAAACGTCAAACGTTACCTTGTAGAGCGTGACGGATCTGGTTGAGTCGGTGACGACGACATGGTCGATGTCTCTCTCCGCTTCGACCCCCTGAATGCCTGAATTTGACAGATTTTGTGCTGGAGCAAGTCCGCACAACGTGTACCCCTCATACAGCGCGGCCATGCTGGATGAGAAGAAAGCAGAACTCGTCGGATCTCGCGAGAATAGACGAATGTTTTGTCGGAGGACAGCGGCGTGCACCTCGCGGGAGCGCGCACAGCGTGAACCGAAAACGATCTATCTTGTCTGTGATTAATAGGCCTAGTGTATTGTTATAACGAGAGACGTTTCTTGTTTTAACGTGATGCGATTGTACGTCGCAATAACGGGAACATATATTGTTGTTATAACAATACACATTTCATGTTATAATGTGATGCTGATCCGTTTTTATTTTTCTGGCGTGGAGAAGAAGTCTCCCTTGCCTTATTTGCATTCTGATCGATGTCGTTGCAGGAGAGGGCGATTTGTTCAATCAAATACCACAAAATAAAGTTTTTAGGAAGACCAACAATAGTACCATCGGCGGGACAAAGTTGTGAATATACGCAGTAAGTCAATGGATCTGAGTCGGCCACTAGCTGGAGACAAAAGCCACCAATGGTACAGATTCACAGACAATATAATCTCTATGGAATGTTTGTGAAGAGCAACGTTCTCTTTTGTATTTTCATGAGATTTAAACTGTGTTTTGTTTAATTTAAATCAAATGTTTTGCCCTAAGGATCAATAGAATCAAATATGTGCCTTATCTCGCAGGTCAACTCAAAGTTCTGGACAATCCATATTCTGATGCATTTGAGCTGGAGCCTTTGGATGAACCTAATGGATATGGTGAAAAGGAGCAGAAAGGGAGGGAACTTGCTTATGACAGGAAACATCTTGCCTGGGCATAAAAGATGTGTGTCACCTGATCCTCTCTAGAGCCTCCCTAGTGAAGGAGATATGTCTGGTTTAACTGGTGGAAACTGACCTCACAGAGGAAACAAGATGTGTATGTGCTGTTACACTTGCTACTGTTGCTGCTCTCCACCTCAGAAGTTCTGCCCTGCTTTCTGAAGGGAGTATGTTATGTAACTCAATGTGTTCCGGTGTTTATGGGTACGGTCATAGTTCCATGTTTGTGTGATCAGTTTTAAAAGGTGTTAAAGTGGAATACAAGAGCATCAGAGTCGAAATTCAATTACAAGTACATTGCATGCCATTGAAGATACATAGACAGTTTTACTAAAGATGAATTTGCCAGAATGATCATGCCTGCAAGTAATCGATGAATTTTCTGATGAAGTATGAACACTCAGATGAGCAATCCTACAATGACCCATCTGGGTCTGAAACACCAGGAACACACTGACATAAATTATTCATAGATAGTGAATTTATAGGTCAACGTGTCAATAGTAGCAAATATGATTACCATTAGTTTCAACACATTTCAAAGATGAAATATTGTTTATCATAAAGAGTGTGAGAGAAAAGAGTGTTCTGCATGTACATTGATGTCAAAATATGCTGCCATGTTATCAGGTAGCTGGTCACGATAAAACAATCTCTGAAAGTTATATCTTCTTTACACAAAAGTTAGAAAATTCCAAAAGAAATGTGGAGGCTGCACTGCTGGGAGTTCAATTCTGTACTCCTGCTGTGTTGTAGAGTGCAGTGATCTGCAGGTCCTGTAGTAGGGTGTTGCTTCGTGCACGCAGTCTCCTTTTTCAATTTCTAACCAGGACAGGATTATTTTCAGCTCACCTTTCTCAGGGGACATGACATTTTCTGGTTTGGCTCTTCATGGCCAATCTGCCTTCATTTGGTTCGCCAGGAGGACATTTTTTTCTGGCACACACAAGTTGTGGCGTGTAACCAAATCTCAAAGTCGAATTTGGCTGGCTCTTAAAAGAGAGCAGCATGTCTGCTTAATCTCATGGTCAGAGGACCTATCCATCGATGATACCATGCGGATACCACACATGGACAGGCAGCATTGCCTGGGCAGGAGCCAAATGGACAATACAAGCACATAATAAGTGGCCAACATTGTGTGTATAAGGCTACATATTGCAGATCACTAACTGACCTATTATATCATTGTTTAACTTTTTTGTTGCTTTAATGAGGTCAATACATACTTTACTATGCATTTCTTAGCAGTTAGCCATGCACATAGAACAATGCTGAACAAATCCTTTATTTTGCACTTATTAACAGTTGGCTGTGCTTTTTGCAGGTACATAAAGGAGGCAATACATATTATTACCCACTAATTAACACGTACTACAAGGACCTTACTATCAATCGTTACCTCAATTAATAAGATATGTATTTTAATTACAGTACATTACTTACACTATGTAAGTGTCAATTTTAATGATAAATATGAAGTACAGATTATCAGAAAGTGAGTTTGCAAAGAAAGGCAGAAGATCATTTTGACCTGTGCATTCCAGAGTGAAAGAGTAACTGGACTCGTTCGGGAAGGAACTTTAAAGAGTCTCGTATAATAGGGTGTTTGGCTGGCTCCACCATACTAAAAACTATTTTGTAAATGTGAGGCACAGGTTGGAAGGAGTTTCAGGTATAATATAGTCTCCTTGAGTAATAGAGCCTCCAAGTGAGATAAAGTGAAATGTATAACAATCCTGTATTTAATTCTTAACCAGTCAGAGAAGCTCAGTGTCTTTTGTGTTTTGATTACTGACATATCAAGAGCATCCCAACCAATCAGGAGGAGCGTAGCATGAAAGGCTTAGAAAATGTTCTTTGTCTGGATTCTGAATCCACACCCTTTGCTTTTTTTTTAGATCTGTATTATCCTTGTCTGCAAATCTGAAGAATAAAACACATTGTACTTAAGAAAAATAGTTTTTTTTTTCAGTGTCCGGTTCCTACGAATCTATTTGTGGCTATTATTTAAAGTTCAAGAAGACTGAACAGACAGAAGAAAACCACGACAACCAGAACACACCAACACCTATTGGATATGGAAGTAGTTTATCAGAGAAGGGATCTGCTGCCGTTTCAGCACTGTTCGATTTCTGATGGAAGTGAACTTGAATGAATGGTATAATCAACACCGCTGGGCTCTAGAAAAGAGACACACACACACAGAGAACAGGTCAGAATACACTTACCATAATTGAGGTAAAGATCCTTAACAATAAAAGTGTTTCTCTTTTATGATTTAGTGATCATGTCGAAAGAATATTGAACCCAAAAGCATCCATGTGTCCTGCTGTGATTTGCTGTTCACTGCAGGGTTGAGCAAAAATAGGTCTGATGGGAAGTGTAGCTGCTCCAAGTGATGTGTCAATTGATATGACCAAGCCAGGTGATAACTTGTAGGAGTCTGTAAATATGCCCTGGCATTTCATTTTTTCAAATGTATGACATAATGACAATAATTTATTGTTATTACCAAGTACTAATTGGGGAAATCTGAATTGGGATAAATAGGGAATAAAAACTATACTTTTGAACCAAGAGGACAATCACTTGTCTATGAAACTTGAGTCATGTACTGCAAGAACTGCTCTGATAGTTCAAGTGCATCAGATATGTTATTGATAGTTTTTAAAACACTGTTTCTTCAAATCTTGTTAGAAAATAGATGTTAATACATGTTTTTATGAAAACAGTGGACACAAGCCGGCACTGCTGATGTCTTAGGTTGAGTGATAGTAAAGTAAATATGAAAAATATATTTAAAAAGTAAAAAAATAAATAAAATGGAATAAAGTCTATAGTGTCCTGGCTATTGGGTGATATGTTGTGAAATATTTCTTACCCTCAAAGCATTCAGGGATTTTGAGTTTTCCATCGATGCACTGGGTTGATACTGCATAACCACATTTCCTGGCCTTGTCCATGCAGTAGACTGAGACAATCTCCTTGTGTAAGACTTTGTTCGGCTGTAGGTCTTTGATCCAGATTTTTTGTCCTTTGTATAGTATCCTTCCTTTCTGTATGCCAACACTGCAAGGAGCTGTATGTGACAAGTAGAACAAACAAAAAGCATTATATTTTATGAAAGTGTTGTCTATGTGTCCCTACACAGGAAATTGAGAGTGGTTAGCTACCTATAAAAGGGAGGAGGAGTTTATATTATATGGCAACTGACAGTTTAGGTCAAATTGAAATGACCATTTTAACTCTGAAAAGCATTTCCAAATGTACAGTGGGTAGGGAAAGTATTCAGACCCCTTCAAATGTTTCCCTCTTTGTTTCATTGCAGCTATTTGCTAAAATCAAAAAAGTTCATTTTATTTCTCATTAATGTACACTCAGCACCCCATCTTGACAGAAAAAAACAGAAATGTAGAAATTTTTGCAAATTTATTAAAAAAGAAAAACTGAAATATCACATGGTCATAAGTATTCAGACCCTAATTGAGGGGTCTGAATACTTTCCGTACCCACTGTATATACACTGATGTAATGGTCAACACAGGCAAAAAATGAGTCATGGGATTGAAGTGAAGTTGAAGGTAAAAGAAATGGAAAAAGGCTGGGATGGAATTATCAACACCAAAAGTCCCAGACAGACTTGAAAAGAGGAATGCATAAATCCAAACTGAATGAAAATGTTCATATGCCAGCCTTTTTTATAGAACTAAACAGCTACAAGCATGTCTCAGGTCCTTCACCTATCAAGATCACCCAAGAAATGTGGCTATCGCCAGAATTTGTAATGTAAAATAACGGTAATATTGGTTGCAGCCCTACCTTTACAGGATGGCTTTTCAGACCAATTCCCATCTTGCTGACAAACAATCTGGATGCTTCCTTCGAGTACATAGTCTCCATTGCAGCCATATTTCACCGTTTCCATGTAGTCGTAGTCTCTTGGGTCGGTGCTTGACATGTAGCCTTTGTCAATGTTCTCCGGCGCAGGGCAGGTCACCACTGTAGCAGGATTCATTTAATCCATTCATTAGAGAGACTCTACCAATGAAAATGTGGCTAAACATCATATAGTCGGCCACTATATGTTTTCATATTTATACCAGGTGTCTGCTAATCATTCCAGTTAAAGTGTATTGGGAAATGTCCCTTGGAGATAATGAAAACCAGAGAGTGGTGCTATTGCATCTAATTTGTTATTAGTGTGTCTTTTCAGCACCCGGTGTTATATAGTTATTACCTTCTAGCTGTACTCCCAACAGTAGAGTGAGAAAATCCCCCATATCCTCCATGAAAGAGATTTCACATTGTGCCTTATGGCCCATTATTGAAATATTCACCAAATCTCATATTGTATTTGTCATATTATTATTATAACTTTTGTTCACATCATCATGCTTGTTGAAGAGTCACAATAGTATAAAATTAACATTTTCAGTGAAACTATAAAGCAACGGTTGTGCTCAGTAAATACTTCTTGCAATGCCACATTTACTCTTCTTGGTGTTATCACAGCAGCGCCTGCTCTTAAACCTTTATACCTTGACATTCAGGTGTCTTGGTCCAGTGGCCGCTGACAGTGCACTCTGCTCTTGCGTTGCCAAAAAGTACGTACGGAGGAGGACACTTGTACGTCCCTCCAACCCTGTAATTAGTGGTGTTCCCTCTGATCCTCTTGTCATAAATGATCATCCCAAACTGTGGGATCGGTGCGAGACCACAGGTCACGGCTACAAGAGAAGAGACAGAATATGCCCAATTTATAGATGTAATGCATGCTTGCACTGTGTCATTTTTCTGTTGTGTATATATATGTGTATATTTCTTATATCAGTTTGCATTTACAGTAGGGCAAATTGACTAATAGCTTAGTTGCGGTATACATTTCTTAATACCAAGTAAAAAGTGTTTTCACAGAGGGACAGAATCATTCAATTGTGTGCCACAGAAAATCCAGTTTTATATTTTCTTATTTATTTTCTGGCCTTGCAGAAGGATGTAATGGTTTACATACGCTTGCACTCTGGTACTGTTGTGCTCCATGTTCCATTAGCAAGACACACAGCAGCACGGTCTCCAGTCAAGGTGTACCTGAGCAGAGCAGCCAGATCATTTCAGTTCATGCTTAGATTGCGAATAAATACACGAAACACATGATGGTTGTCTTAAAGGAACAGTGTGTAGGATTTAGTGCCATCTAGCGGTAAGGTTGCAGATTGCAACCAACTGAAACTTGTACCGTGTACCAAGCGAGTAGGAGAACTACGCTACTTGACAGAAAAACAGAAAAACAGGAATGGCCCTATTTGGAGCTAGGGTTTGGTTCTGGGCTGCTGAAAAGGACCTGCTCCGTATGTAGCTCTGTTTGTTGTGTGTGCTGATGCTTAAACAGTCAAAATTCAGGACTCAAAAGTATATGGGCAATTGATCGTGATGACACTATGTGTAAACCTCAGGGCACAAAGGAGGTCTGCACACTGTAATGCACAAATAAATGGTTTATTCCTCTTATTCCCTTTCAAGTAGATCAAAATGTTGCCTGTGTGCAGACTGTTAAGTATTTTGATGATGTTGGTTGCCTACACTTTACTCCGCTCAATAGACCTGTTTGCTTGATTAAAGGCCTTCCATTTTGCATTTGCAAAAATGCCACCAGTGTATTGGGGACAGCAAGGTGGCCGAGAGAGCGAATGACACGATGAAATTCAACAGGATGTTGTTGCTTTACCCTTCATCACACGTATAGTTAATCGTACTCTGGAACACAGTATCCTCATAGTACAATTCTCCATTCGACAATGGATCAGGATAGGGACACCGTTTTGCTGCAGAAGAGAAACCAGTACAGAGAACATGTGTGAATTGAGGGTTTTGCTATTCAGTTATTCTGTTATGAATAATGCAAACATAGAAACACAAATACCAATAATATTTTAGATGAGGGTACAATAATCACAATTGTTCACATACTTGATAAAATTCCCCCCGAAATGTATTAAATCATTGCATTTTTCTATTCCACATCAGAAATAATCAATAAATTTGACCCCAAGTTCTCACTAGAGTAATGGAGACCCACGTATGCACATTAATCTGGTTTTCGTCCATTCTCCACTGGCACCGCAAACAATCTTCCGAGGGCCCGACACGGGGGTATGTCCCTCTTTACAGGACAGCGTTAACTCCACACCGGGGCTAAAGTACCTCTGGAGCCCATCCGTCTCAATATTGGCAGCCAGCTTAGGCCTGATACACACTGCAAGGACAAATGGTTTTAATGATGATCATGTATAGACCCCGTTAATTACCTGGAAATTAATATTCCAATAGATTAGAATAATAAAAATTAACCAGCCTCAAAGCATGACAAGCTAATGAACATTAGCACCTCAGGAGTTACGCATTCAGTCTGATCTTGAAAGCCATGTGTGTGTCTCATGTGCTGAGCCTGAAATAGAAGGAATGTGTGTGTACGTGTAGTTATGTACTGTATTTGTAGTTTAGTTATCATATAATTACAATACTGTTTTTTGTTCATCTACTGGAAGTTGATTATTCTGAAGGAGTGTATAACTAGGGCTTTACTTGGTCCACTTTTCTGAACTAGGCTTAACTCTATTGCACGTTGATGTTGACTATTTAAACAGTATGACTGGCAACGCTAGCAACATTTGACAGGGAGCAAGTAGCAGAAACTTAACAAAAAATACTAAATCTAATTCTGTAGCAAAGATTACAGCGTATTTCATAGAGACAGAAAACCTTTTTTTCCCCTGTCAGCTTCACAACATATTGAAACAAACCATCTCAAACAACAAATGAAGTGACATAATTGCCTTGTATGCCTCCAAAACTGAACATGGTCATTACTACTTAAGTAAATGCCTTTAGAATCCGTTTCTTGTAACATTACCTGACGCTAAAGCCATGAAAACAGCAAAGTCATGACTGTGAATGCATGCAGTTCGAGCCATGTAAAGTTTAAGAAAGTAAGAAACAAAAGCAAATACCATTGTCTTGTTCGGCGGTAACGGTGGTGAAATATACAAATGGACACAGCAGAATCAAAGCCAGCATGCGGTCCATCCTTTGTAGAAATGTACAGACGCTCCTCTGTTCTTTCCTGTGGTCAAACACTGAATCTCCTGTCAAAACACTGAATCTCTGTACCCTCTTCCACTGCTGTTTGTGTTCCTCTAAAAGTAAACAGATAAGAGCAGCATGAAGTAACTGCTCACTGGTGATCCTTGTTTTGTCCTCTGCTTCTTTATTTTTTCTGCTTGAGTTTTGCAATAACAGATCGTAATCCTCGTGACATTTTACTGGAAGTGAAAAGCTCCAGCAGGGGACTTTCCCTTGTTGCTGCAATATTATGAAACTCTATTTGGCCCCATTTAGCTGTTGCTCAATTCATATTAAAGAGCAGACATGCATCAAAACATAACAATCTAATTTCGGTTATGAGGTGTAAGAATGTTTATTTCCAGAAATGTCCCTTTCACACCTCACGATTAATGTTTGTGACGTGCTTGGTGCACTTTGCAACACATGAAAGAAAAGAAAAACGCCTCTTACAGAGTAGATGTGTAGCGAGGGCAATTGACACTGCAATCTCAGCACAAATATAGAGATAACATTATTTTATTAATAATGACTTTATTATTAGCTGATAATGACAGGCACAGGAATATAAGTGGCACCTGTCTCTATAGTATGGTCCAACTGTTGGTGTTATGCAAGTATTCTGTCAGTGTACATGAGTTTCCGGTCATCCTGTTCAAAGTTATGCAGGTCTTGCAGGGGGTGAAGCAGCACACATTGTGATTTCTGATGGAAGGGTTTTGGCCCTTACGGTGTACTCCACCTTGCCTGGTTCTAAAAGCAAGAAAAACAAAGGCAGATGTATTACAGAAATCATCAAATGCATTGCAGCATGGAAACATCATGGGCTTCTCCAAAGTCATGGAATGAGTGATCTGATTTATTGTGCCAAAACTCAGCTTTGAGTCAAATATCAAGAACCTGTCCTGGTCTAATGTTTACTGTTATCCTTGCTGTTGAATAGTGTACTCATTACAGTATATACACAATGCTTACCCCTGCTTATTAAACATCACAGTTCAAGTTTCATCTAGCATTAAATACAAGTTGGGATAAAGGTTTTGTATCTGTACAAGTGTTCATGGTGCCTAAATTTAAAATGTATAAGAGTTTTGAATTAGATTTAGCTGTCAAGAACTCACCCACAAAGCACTCTGGGATGGGGAGGGTCCCATCGTTACAGGTGCTGACCACAGGGTAGCCACACCTCTCCGCTCTGTTCAGACAATAGAAGGCAACATGTTCTCCATGGAGGACTCTGTTGGGTTTCAGGTCTGCGATCCAGAGCTTCTTGGCATTGTAGAAGATACGGCCTCTTTTGATGCCAACTGCGCAGGGAGCTGGATGGGAAAAGCTCATTTTAAGTAACCAAGGGGCTGGAGACTCTCTCGACTTGTGTATGGATACTTGTGGTTTACTAATCGACTGCTGGTGTAGAATCATGAAACATGAATTTAGCCTGAGATTAGTTTTCCAGATCGGATTTTCTCACCTCTGCAAACTGGCTTGGAAGACCAGTTGCCTGAGTTTTGGCACTCTATCTCAGCCTCTCCATCCAGAATATGATGCTCATTGCAGGCATACTTAATCTTCTCCTTGTAGCCATGTTGTCGAATCACACGGAAGGTGATGAAGCCATTTGGTATAGCTGGTGGGATGGTGCAGCTCACCTCTGGGATGATCACAAAGGTGAGGAGGCGTTATTTAGCAGTTAGATGGATGGTCAAAGAACATGGAGAACACGGTCACGGTCTGCGCACCTCGGCACACCGGTGGCTCAGCTGCACTTCCATCAGCCATGCAGGATCCCCTCTCAAAACTTGGTGCCATACGTTGGTTACACTCGTAAGTCCAGCCTTGCCCATACATGGTGGTGCTTCCAGTAACTGGTTTATCAAAGGCAATCCTTCCATCTCTAGGTGGCTTGGGCAGTGGACAGTACACGGCTGTAAGAAGAAAAACGATCAGGCTAGAACTCCGCTGCAATATACGAAAAAAGAATCTCTCTTACATAATAAACAAGTGCATCAATAAACAAATAGAAGTCCAGCTTCCTTATCAGATAAAAAAAGACTTTGGATGTTTCACTTGCTCTCTATTGGACACAAAGTCTGTTACCATTTCCAGTGCATATATTTTCCTCCAGTACCTTTGCAGAGAGGCGGTGGATTGTTCCAGGTACCATCATGTAAACAGCTGCTCTCATTGGCTCCTTGCATGACGTACCTGACAAAGTTCACATCATTCTCATATATAGTACTGTAAACACCTTGTGATGATCTGTTTGGAACTGTGAAAAGTGACTTCATTTTTTTATCTCAATCAATCTTACCCGTCATCACATGTGTAGTTAAGCACACTCTTGAATGGAGCTTCTGTCCTCCCCATCGCTAATGGCTGCAGAGGTTGAGGGATTGGGCACATCTTGGCTGCAGAAGAGATGGTTCAATACTACTGTATATACACACATCAGCACCAAAATGTGAGTCACTGGAATATTTTTAAGGTCAGACTATATCGGACTAAATCAGACTATATAATACTGATACCCCTGTATTTTGATAAAACTGCTGAAAATCCTTATTTTGCACTTGTATTTTGAAATTGATTGTTTCCTGGTCGATATATTCTGAAGAAAGCTGGACATCATGGAGTAAAATAAATCCTGCTGCACACTGGGAAAAGATTTCTCTGGGGTTAATGATTTTTTTTCTTCTTTTTTGTTTCAGGTTAGCAGGAGCCTAATACACAAGCCAACGTTTTCTCCCGCCTTGCTCACACCTTCTACTTTTAGATGGTTGAAACAATTTAAGAATTCCAGCTGTTCTAGTATTGCACTGCTGCATTGCTCTGCGAAAGAGGAGAAACACTGCATTGTTATGATGTAGTAGAGTGAGAGTCCAACACCCCAGTAAACTCACGGGAGCATGCCAGGTCTGACCGTGTCCATTCTCCTGTGCCGGTGCAGGTCATCCTTCGAGGGGTCGCTGTCGACGGCAAGTACCCCCTTTCACATGTGGGGGTCACCTCCTCTCCCAGCTCATACAGACGTTTTAGGGTCGACTCCTCAATCCCGTCGGTGACAAAAGGACGGCCACATACTGGACCAGAAATATAATTTAACAAATACATAAGGATTCACAGGAATAATGTTCAACAACAGTACGCAGTGCAGATTAGAATGTCAGGGATTGCTGTAAAAGTTGTGCACACATTTGATACTTTTGATGCAAACTTGTACAAAAGATACATTAGACAAGAAAATGCAAATAAAGAAGAGTGATTAAAAGTCCGAAATATTTGCAGCACATGACGAAAAGCACAAAATAAACAAATAAAGCGATCACCCTGCTCTATTTTACCGTTCTTGGATGTTACTGTTGTGTATAAAGCCACTTGGCAAAGGACCAGCAAAGCCAACGCCGGAGCCATCTTCTCGGGAGTGAAGTCTTCTCAGTGGAGACAGCATGAGGGCTGCTGCTGGGTAAACGGGCCCCTCATAGCCCGCTCCAATCAGATGCCAGTACAAGCTCCTGTTGATTGAGCACAAAGGTCTTAACTCCTGCATATTTACCCAGAACTGGTCGATAACCTTGATTTGGTACAAGAAGCCGGCAGCATGGTATTTGAACTCATAAATAATGAGGGAGAGACTCCCAAGACACTGTACACACACGCATGCACGAACACACACACACACACACACATGCACGCACACTCATATACAGTAAACCATGTATTCTACTTTTTAGCAATGCGCAATGGCTGTTTGCTCTGAAGCAGAGAAACAACACTGTGTATGTAGCCTACTCTAGTTGGGGTTTACAAATAGTTGCTTTTTGTTTAAGTTAGAAACATTTAAGAAGTACAGGTTTAAAGAATATTGAAGAAAAGAAGGTAGTCTACTAAAAAAAAGACAGAAAAACTGTGACCTGCAGAACCATAATCACTGAAATGATGCAATACCTAACTAGGTCAAAGGATTTGTTGAGAAGTAATACTGTTGGTTCAATAGGCAGATCGGCTTCATTATTTGAATGAAATACACATCATGTCACTGACAGATAAAAAAGCTCTTGTTCTTTCTCTTAAGCGATGGATGTTTTAGATTGACTCGAGCCCAAAATCACATGCTTTCCGTGAAGAGTACTGGTTTATCTAATCCGATTTAATTTGCAAATATTTGTCTTTTGCATGAGAGGGGTGGAGATGGTTAGGCTGCTCTGCTGGTCAGTGAACCTGAGGGGATTGGTAAAGTTTCAGAGATAGCAAGTAGGTCAAAAGAGCTGGTGAACTGTGAGACAGCTGTGAGAACATTCTCCAAAATGGTCAAGAATTGCATTCCAGCCGAAACACCAACCACCTGCAGCAGTGTGCGTGTGAACGAGGAATCCAGTTGAAGGCATATTCATAACAACAGCAAGAGATCTTTAAGAACAATCGACACAATGAAGCACATTATCAGAGACAAACCGCTTAAATGGAAACTAAAACCATCTGTTTTTTGTTTTATAAATTGTGGTTTTTAAGGACTAGATACACGGCAGTGTTTGTGAAGATGGAGATAGTAGGTCTACAGTGGTGATCTCATCATTATCCCATGCTTTCTCTGTGTAAAGCAACAATTAATTATGAAGAGGTTGCTCTTTTATTATAGATGCATCACAAACACGTCCAGGCTGAGCATTGTGAAACACATGAACACAAAATAAGTTGAAGCGACTCAAACACAACATTAACTGGATCTGTATATGTGCTAATGTCGCCGAACTGAGCACTTGTTAACACCAATTTCTGCAGAGCGGTTCTACACGTGTAATACGCCATGTTTCCACACGATGACGCTCCCCATTCAAAATTCCTGACGAGGGGCCCCTTCCCAACGCGGGCCCTGCTCGGATGCGTGACATCAGCCGGATTGAAAAGGAGGAAGCGGTGAGGAGCAGCGTCAAGTTACACAAAGATATGGCCTATACTCAGACCACGGAAGTGCGTCTTAGAAATAAAGCAGTTTAAAGTAGGCTTTAAAGACAGAAGCGTGCTCTCTCTGGCGTTTGGATTGACTGTTTGAAAGGTATTGCGCCACCGCCTTGGAACTAGGATGATATGCAAAGGAAATCTGCTAATTTGGCCAAAAACCCATTGTTTTAACATCCACTGCAGACTTCAGCAGAAATAATCTTGCAATTCAGAGATTCCTGTTTATGACTTGAAGGTTGCTAGTTCAATTCCTCCAAGGAGCTGAACTTGTGAATATGATCTACAGCACTTTTTAATAGTAGAATACTTAATGTGCAGAAATGTTTCATGTGTTCTTTCTGATGAAGGTTGGTGGCTGTCGCTTTCATGTATTGTTTGACAGGAAATGCATCACGAAGCCCTTTGTGAGATTAAAGGCGGCACAGATACAGGGCTACACTGAGGACACTTGTGTATTTTATACACTCGGTTGCCAGTTTATTAGGTGGCTGAAGTTAATGCAGCCCAAAGCCCTGTAATAAATCCTACCTTCACAAAGGTTATATAACTGTTTAGGAGATGTGTTGTTTCAACTGTATGGCCTGTGGTTTGTGGTGCTGTTGCCTAATACTAAGAGGTGAATATTTTGTCTAACTTATTTGATACAAATTCAACAATAACAGATCATTTTATATATGATCATAAAATCAACATAATTTATTGCAGGGCATCTCTTTTATGTTGCAGAGTTGCTGGTGTAGACATCCTACACAAAAAAAGGCTTGAACATAATATTGATTAACATTAATATTTAGGAAAAAATTACCCTTACAAATTATTTTTTTGTATTGATCCAATCTGTGTGTCAGGTCGTTCAGCAGCTGAATTAAGCCTTCAAGATTAAGAATCCTCTTCACTATACGCTACAACGTTTTCCACGACTGAAACTCATGCCCTCGGAAAGCTATTTATAAAATCAGAGCTACTGTCTTGCTTATCAACTTTGCTGTCACTTTTCAACAAACTGTAGTCATGGGCATGCACCATCTTGGTGTGAAATGTGTAGCAGTTTTGTTTTGTAGAAAACAGAAAATACTTTTATTTCGAAGGTACGGACCGGATGTAGAACTTTCCCGCTGTGGCTAGCTTGGCAGCGTGCTGAGCTGTCAGTGGAGTCGGCAGGCAGGGAAAGCCCTCAGACAGTAAGTACAGTGTCTCCGGTGAAGACCGACGCCCCGCGCTCTGCTGGCTCGACACTGAAGGCTGCGCCTCTAAACGGACCGGGAAACACTTCAAGACAGCAAGACCGAAGCTGTAAGCGTTGCGTTGTTTGTAAGGGAGGACATGGCTGATGTAAATTCAAACGAGTCGTCCACCACGGACGTGGCGAACAGGTTCGCTCGCAAAGGTGCTCTGAGGCAAAAAAACGTCCACGAAGTGAAGAACCACAAATTCACAGCCAGGTTCTTCAAGCAGCCGACTTTCTGCAGCCACTGCACCGACTTCATCTGGTAAGCCTCCCGTCTCCCACCTCCACCCCACCCCACCCTCCTGAATGCTGCTGCCTGTTGCATATTGGTAACTTCAGTCGAGTATGCTCGATGATGCAACACAACTTCATGCTAACCTTTCCCTTCTTAATCATGCGACCTACACTTCTCCTGCAAGACTTGAAGTGACCGGACACGGGTGTCATAAAGTCGTCAGGGTTTTTTTCTCCCGAGTGGATTTTCCTATAGGGAACCCACTTTTTGAGATTTTGTCCCAAGTAATCCCATATGGGAGGAGTTATTCTGTTGTTTATGTTATTAGTGTAGCACTGGCATAATACGTGTTTGCAGGAGAGGGAGTTACACTTATGTTTAGGGTTGTGCTTATAGAATACATTCTGTAAGTGGGGAAAAAAGAAACCCAGTGGGAAATTTAAAGCAGCAATTTGAATCTTTGTGTGACTAAGTGGCCCCAGTAACCCCTTTGTGAGAACAACATCAATGTTGCACAAACATAAATGGACACATTTCTGCATTAGTTGCAATGTGGCAGTCTCGAGAGGCAACTATATGGCAGCTGTTAAAGTCCACTTTTCTTGTTGTCGTCCCCCACTGCATTACTGCTGTGAAAGTGCTTAGATTGGACCTGATTTAAAGTCTTCAGATGACTAATATGTTCCCCCTTCCTGGCATTGAGTCGAGCCTTCCATCCTGTTTTTATTTTTTTCACTGTAGGGGAACAAATGGAGCATGTATTGCTGAAAAGCTCTCGTGTTGCTGCTCACTGGCTGGATTTTAAGGAGACGGTTTAATGGCGCTGAGAGCGCGTTTGGACAAGAACTCCACCAACACTGCAGAGACACATGTGCACCTGTGGTGTTCAGTTGAAGCAGACTTGAAGTGGGTTATGGTGGCACAATGCATTTGGAAAGTATGACAAAACATACGTTTTGAGAGTACGCGGTAGTTTACCGTCCTGTGCTCTTCCAGGTGCGATTGTCATCTCAGGCCCTTCATTGCTGGTAGTGTTCCAGTATGACCTTTGACCTACCAACACTCACTCCTTAGCAAAACAAAAGCTCAACACAAAACTTGGAGGCAACAACCTGTTGCTCGGCTTTCTAGATTTCAGAAGGGAGCCTCTTCATGCACGTTGTGTGGTTGTGATTTGTAATCGGTTCATATTTTAGTATTTACCTCACAGTGTTTCAGCTGTTGAGTCTCTATTTTTTATTAATTTTTTCTGTCCTGACAATGTGATTAAAATGAAATCCTTTGACAGCAGTATAGGATACACTGTATGCCAAAAAGTATGTAGGCTTTCTATGATATTTTGGAACCAGGCTGCAGGGAATTGTTGCCATTCAGCCGCGATAGCATCCGTGAGGCCGACAATGATGTTGGCCGGTAAGGTACGGCTTACCCGCGGTGTTTCTGTTCATCCCAAAGATGCTGGCTGGGGTTGAAGTCAGGGCTTCGCACGGCCAGTCAAGTTACAAATGGGGCAAACTCAGAAACAGGACTCTTTATGAACCCTACTGTTTGGCCTTCTCTGAAACGCACCCTTTTCTGAAATATCACTGTATTCTTGAGCATTGATGTGTTACTTCATTAGAACTAAGGGGCCTTTCCCAAATCATGAAAGACGCGGGAGTGTCCACATATCTTCGGTGTGGCGTGTCGCTACAGGAGTCGTTGAGAGTATGATGTGTTCCGAAATACATTTTATTGTGGAGATGACAATAAATGCTACCAGCAAAATATGAAAATGTTCAATAGCAGAAGCACATGATGAAACACCCCGTTTCTGGTGTGAATGAATGAATGAACGGAATTTCTGTGTTGCTGTATGTGTGAGTGAGAATTAAACAACCGTTTAATTCAGTCTTCTTTACTTTCACAGGGGGTTTGGAAAACAAGGATTCCAGTGCCAAGGTAAATGCATCACTGACTGACATCTGACATCATTCACATGTAATGAGACCCTGACCACGCGTGTGTGTATGAGACATGTAGAGTGTGTTAAGTGTGTCAAGCGTAGGCATTTGGCTGCTTACATTACATTACAGTCATTTAGCAGACACTCTTATCCAACGCGACTTACAATTCAGAGGGTGCAATTTTGGGGTTAAGTGTCTTGCTCAAGGACACATCAACATGCGACTAGCCGAGCATGGAACCGCCGATCCTCTGATTGGAGAACGGCTCTGCTCTCCACTTAACCACGGTCGCCCACGCGTCTCTCACTCCTTCATTTGATAAGTCTGAACATGTACTCTGACCGGTGGAACGTCTGCCACATGAACCGCCGCATCGATCCACTCGTCTGGGAGCATGTCTCCGGTTCTGCCGCTGACTTGCGACGAAGATGCCGAGAAACAGCGTCTCGATTTGTTTTCTTTTTTCGCAAGCTCGGCATTATTTGTTTACCCACAGTCAGGGTTATTGTGGCCATACTGTATCTAAATCAGGTGGCCTGAATGAAATGAGCCTCGAACAACATTGTGTGTTTTTTTAATTATTATTTAGCAAGCAGCGTAGAACCAGAGGGCGGTGTGCTGTTTGTTTATTATGGGGTCTAGTTCTTTTGAGCTTTTTGCATGGTGCTGACTTTCATTGAAAATGTTAATTAACACAGTGGCAATTGGAATTGAATGCACTATTCAGCGGTTTATCTATCAATGAAGTGCCTCCTAATAAGTGAAACTTTTTAATTACTGACAACAGGTAGAGAAGAGTTTGGCAAAAAAGAGCCGAATGAAAGTGTGTTTGTTGTAAACGGTGTGAGCTGAATGACAGGCGAGGCTGTTTTTTGACCCCTCTATGTGGGATTACGGACACATCTAGTTCCCCACGTCGGCCCCCCCAAATCAAAAGCATCACTGAAGGTGGATTTCCCATCAACCCGCCATGTTGAGCTTCAGCATGCACCGACTCTCAGAATTCCTCATCTAATGTGGAAACGTTGGGGCTTGCCAAAGTCGGACTCTGATGGAGAGTGCCCAGGTAACAGTGCAGATGATGTTAAGCTGATGTTGCACTAAGACACTATGTCTTTCATGTTGTTTTAGCGCTTAAAAAAAAAAGATTACAAAAGTCAGCCTTCAGTATGGCCGTCGCTGATCTAGAGCTGCTGCAGTACTACTTATGATCAGATGTCATCTGTAGCAAGTGTGTTGAAAGTGTGACATATTTCACGAGAGTAGAAAAGAAAGCATCCAGCAAATGACTTGATTGGAAACCCTCCCGACGGATTCCTCCTCACGCACAGCACAGAACAGAAGACAGTCTCTCTCTCTCTCTCTTAAAGATAAACACTTCGCGAGGCGTTTGATCCCAATGGTTCAGAAGCTGCTTCCTCGAGATCTTCCGAATCATCGTACGAATACATTTAGGTGCTTCGCAGGAACATGCATGTTGACTACTACAAGCCCCAACACACCCACTCTTCTGTGTGATCCCCTCTCCTAGACGTGGCATGCAGTCTGCTCTCTAGTATTTGCTCCCCCTTGGGTGAAACCGGGCTCCGTAATGAGTCAGTCCAAGGTGTCGGAGTGTTGACAGCCCAACATGTTTATGCATAATTCCCCCCCACACTTCTTCCTCAGCTTTAGCAGCGCGTTGTCATTTTTCATCGCTGCATGCTTTTCATACAGGAGACGATGAGCTGAAGGATTAGCAGGACGTCAGAGAGACGGTGGGAGAGAGGACCGACGGCTCAAAAACTGACCGCTCCTTCGTCTTCCACCATAAATAATGCGCGCCTTATCAAGATGAAGGCCATTGGTTACACTGCAGCTATTCAAAAAGAGAAAGCCCCCCTCCCCCCCAACTTTATAATATCTGTTTAGCCATTAATTATTCAACTTAAGCTTCTAGAAAATGAGGGTCGAGCGCTCCAGCAGAGCCAGTGAGCCTCTCAGCCACTACTTGAAGTGACAAAGTAATAAACCGGAGAGTGGCCTTTCTCTAACAAGAGTGACATTTCATTTTCAGCCCTGCAAATGTCTCTTTTCTAAGAATAGGGTGGGCAGCACAGTATCGCATCACACGTGTAGTTTATAGTGTTGAAATCGTAATCCAAGATTTTGCTGCACACACTGAAGCTCATTAAATGTAATGAAACATTTGAGCAGAGTTCATTTTAAAGAGAGTTAATGTTGTGGAAACAAACAAGCCTATCGGTAACCAGCTTTCTAGATGCTATCTGCATTGTGAACTGTCCGTCCGTCCGTCTGTCTTCACCTGGCTACTTTTCCTCTGGAGTCTTATTTCAAGGCTCTGGTGCAGCAGGGTATCTCAAATTAGTTTAGTTGACATTATAATACAGCCGGGCAATCCGTACGCTCAGCACATTCACTGTTCAGATCTCGTTGTGGTCTTTTTGAAACCCGCGAGCCTGGGTTGTGGGGTTTCTCATTTGGTTCTCATCTCTCCGGGTTCTGATTTGCGGAGGGTTAAGCCGACAGTGTAATGCTGTCCTGTAGCCTCACCTTCATTCAGCCAAACATATTCACAGCGAGCGACATGCTTCTGTCGGCCACTGAGCATCCCTCTTTAAGTGTTTGGGGGTCAAGTGCCTTCTGAAGAGACACCCCCTATTGAAAGAAGTGTTAGTGTAATATTCATTCCTTGCTCCACATTGTCTCGCTAATCCAGGATTTCTGCCACAAGGTGACTTTTCGAAACAGGAGGGAGATGGTATCTTGAGGCCTTTGTGCCCTGCCACCCACAGCGTCGATCCTATTTCACATTTTATTAATAACAAGTTTATTTTTACTCCATTGAACGAGATATGAAGCAGGAAATCTTGATTTAAGCCTGTTTACCTTTATACTGTGACGTGGGCCTGCACGGACGGCACGTGAACTACGAGCGCCTAGTTACAAAAATTCAGTGGTGCTGCGACAATCTGTGAAGCCTTGGTGCTTCACACACCATACGTGATGACTTCATATTCTGTTCGTGCACCTTCGCGCCGGAGACACTAAGGCGAGCATGAACAAGGCTTTAGACACCAAAACTTTGTAGGAGTTGGAACCGGCGGTGTCCAGGTTGTGATGGGTCTGCGGTGATGTTTCCTGCCCGTTTCCTGACTCTGGAGATGTACAAGTCCTGGATGGTGGGCAGGCTTCACCCGCCAAATCCCATCAATACACAGTGTCTTCGTTTACCTCGTGCTGTGCAGTGTTTGGACAGTGCCCGGAGCATCCGCCACCATGTCATCCCAACAAGGCCCCTGTTGACAGGCCATGGAAAGGTAAACTCGGAGTGGCCGCCGTCCCTGTCTCTGCAGGCTGGCACAAAAATTCCACTATAACTGCTTGTTGTGGTTTCATCTTTCCATGTCAATTTGCTCAAACAGCACATGCTTCTTGGACGATGTTTTTTTGTTCTGCTTCATCTGAGCTCCGCTACAAGCCTGGTTATAATGCTGAAGGTTCAGCACCCTTGCAGTGTCCATGGTGGCCACAAACACGAGGCAGATTGTGCACACATAAGTGTTGACCGGTGACTGCAAATTGTGATGAATGAAGACATCGAGACCTAATCAGCAGCCAGCATCTGAAGGCGCCACAGCTACAGCTCGACGGATTTGTTGGTCGTACAGACAGTGATACATCGGTGCTTTTATTTCTCCAGGGGTTACACAGCCTGTAATAAAATCCATCTTTTCATGATGGTTTATTACAATTTCAACCTCAGATTGCCTGAGATAAACCACGCTGATGTGTGCCTCGGCGAGTAATGCTTTTACAGTGAAATTACTGGAAGTAGTGTATCTCTGCAGTTTAGTAGCCAAGCAGCTACTTGCATTAACAAAAAAAAGTTCACTAGTACATCTATTCAAATAGATGACAGTACCACAGCTTATTTTTCAGGAGTAATGTCCTTAGTGTCTTTCCTCCAATGGAGCACAATTACATTCATTTGGTGGTAATAGCAGCGAGCAGAAAACTAGCCAGGGTTAAAACTCTCAGTGATGAAACTTTGAAGTCCTAATCCAGCGCGACTGTTATGATTTTCATAAGTGCCCCTCCACATTCTGGCCTTGCTAAAAATGAATTTCAATCTCACAATTAGTTCCACAGAAAACTTTCTCCAGCTTTCTGTTAGCAATGTGTGTGTTTGGTTGTTGATTTATTTGCCCACACACATATGGGGGAAGTGATGCAAACTTTTAACAAAAAGGGCAGAGCCGGGGCTCCGTTTTTCACTTTTGTCACAGTTTCAGCCATGAAAGCCTTAAACCCTCTTTTTCATGCCGTTATTTGGCCTCCAACAAATTATTCTGAGACGAAATGGCCTGTGACAGACGCATGAAAGCCCTGTTGACTGTGGTCTTGGGATTCTCATAAGCCCTGAGCCATGAGACCGCAGGCCACCCTGCTGCATCTGGCCGACTGGCCTTGCCTAGGTTCATGCCTTCCTCTCTGCTGTAAAGCGGCGGTATGCTTACAACTAAGAAACAGATTAATTGCTAACAGCTTTGATGCTAACGGCTGCATTTTGTTTACGCAGCTTTTATAGTCTCTCCATTCCTTCTCCTTTCATCTGTCTTTTTACTTGTTTCTCTGTCATTGCTTGGGCTCACAGCCATACATCTGCCCTCAGCAGTGCTCTCTGCACATGGGGCTGCTCCTACATGGCCACTTTCGTTCTGTCTTTGTACACACACACTCCCACGTATCCAATCCCTCCATCACATCTAGGTAAAGCAGAGGGAGATAGCAGATGGGGATTTGGTTTCATCTGGGTTTTCTTCTCATTGAGTTAACATTCATCAAGATACACGATTTAGAGACCTTTTGAATGGAGCAGAGAAGAGAAGAGGCATCATGGCAAATGTGTGTGTGTGTGTGTGTTTATGAGACAGAGAGGGAAGAGGCCAAAGTTCAACTGATGCTATATTTAGAGTTGCTCCCCGGGGACTT